GAGTGAACTGGGAAGGTTACAAATCCATGCTGCTTGCTTGATTCTTCTCAGTGGTTGAGGAGTTTCTTGGACTTGGACCTTTGCATTTGGATTGACCTATATGTCTGGTAAAAATGTGTTAAAAATGTGCTAAACTGAGTGCAGCGAGGTTAGACTTCTGCTCACCAACTTCTGTTTTGCTTTGCTCCTTTGAAAAAAAAATAATTGATGAGGAGAAAATCTACCTTTTTCTTCAGAATGGAAAAGAGAAAGGCGTTTGTGGACAGTTCTTAACATCAGTTCACATCTGAGACCCCATTTTCTCCCCTCGCTAGCAGGGGGATGAGGTAGTGGGTGGCATCTTGGCTTATGGCATATTTTTTGTCTTGAAATTAATGATCAAAAGTACCTGTGCTGTTAGGCTTGACTCATGGTATAGAAGGCAGTAGGGCTTCATTTTTCCTCAGAATCTTCCATTCAGTGATGACAGTGTAAGACTGCTCAATGGTGCTGTAAAACTTAGCACAAAAGCAACAGAGATGTGAGTTTCAGCCCTAGGCTCCACCGCAGCTTCACATGAGTTGTCGTCACTCATCCTAAAGATGTTATCCTGGCAAAGATGATCGTTTGAGCTGAAGAAAATCAGAGATAAAATCTTCAGAGCTGTGAAAGGCCTCAGGGACAGCGAAGTTGAGAAGGCTGTAGCGTAGCAATAGAAACAGCTTGATAAAAGGAAGAAATCTGTTTTATTGCTTGTTTTAGAGTCTATTCTCACAAGCCCTGAATTCAGTGATACGCCTCGTGATAGCTCAGCTTCAACTATGTAGCATTTGAGGCAATGGTGCTGATAGCTGTAGGTGGTACTGGGGATACTGCAAGTTCTTAGATATGCTGAAGTCTAATACTGAAGGCAGTTTCGCCTGAATGACAGTACCCCAACCATGGGAGTCACAGAATCCCAGTATCACAGAATGGTTTAAGTTGGAAGGGACCTCTGAAGATCAGCCAGTCCAATCCCCCTGCTCAAGCACAGTGACCTAGAGCATATTGCCCAGGACCATATCCTGGTGACTTTTGAATATGATGAATAAATTGAGGAGGATTGGGCCGGGTATTAACCTGTTACTTACTCACCTGTTACGGATTAAGCATCTAAAAGCTAGACATCTAAATCTTAGATTGATACGTGAAACTTTACCTACTGGAAAAGAAAAAGGAGTAAGGATCTCTAGAGATCAGTCCATCTCCTAAAACAGGTCAGATGGTTTACCTTAAATGCATCCTTGTCTAAGTGTCTGAAGTTATATAAAGCAAAATCTCAATCTCTGATTCATTTAATATCTCCCTGAACAGTAACTCAGTACAGAAAGTCATTAAGCCTTTTCCTTGATTCCTTTAATGTGTTCACAAGCTGAGAGCTCCTGGTTGTCCTATCCTTTGAACTCTTGTTACCTTGGAAAGGAGATGAAGTTGTATTTTGGGGCTTGTTCTTTATCTGAGAACAAATCTGAGTTCTGAGGGAAGCTTTCTAAAATTGGCATCTCTGTAAGGAAGTTTTGCATACTATTTCCTAGTTAAGAAAGGAAGACTATGTATGAGAAGTCTAAGGAAGGACAGTTACTATGATCTGACCTTGCAAATTCTGAAGACCATAAGATAATGTGATATCCTTCTCCAGCACCCTAGGAAATCACAGCTCAGGAGACTGTGCAACAAGGTTAGCTTTTATGAGGAACTTACACTGTGGCATGGCTGTTTCAGTCAAACAGCAGTGGCTGGGAATTCTTGTGGTCTTTTCTCTGCTGCTGATTCAACATGTGCTCTATTGTGTGCCGTTAAACCTGATGGTCTTTCTCTGTTACAAAGGAGAAATGCTTGCGCTCACTTACAAAGCAGGAGGAGGAGAAGCTTCTTGGTCTCCGGAACCACAGATAGAAGCATAAAAGAGTAGCAGGACTCTTAAAAGATACCACTGAACATTAAAAAAAAAAAAAAAGCATTGGATGTTACGTAATATATAAAACCTGGATTTCTGTGTATACGCATATGCATAGTGTATATAAACATAACCAGGTGCATTGCAGATGATGATGCAAAAGATAAGCAAATGAAGGAGTGATAAGTGGCTTGGGTAGCAGGGGGCTGGACTCAGAAATACTGAAAATCCAGCCAGGAGGCTTATTTGTATGGTCCAGAAAGGCCGTGAAAAAGGCAATACAGTCTCTAAAGTAATAATGTGTGTTTTGTGCTGTTATGCTACCGTGTAAAATGGTGCCATTCTGGTCTTGTTTAAAATCTCCCTGGTAGGCATTTTGTAGAGGTATAAATCTCTGTTCAGAGGGTGATACAGCAGAGAATATAAACCCCTGGGTCTAATTGCTGGTATAATCCTATCGAAACTTGATTAGAGTTTTCTGCTGTCTTTGCCAGTTGAATGTTTTAATAGTGAATTGCCCCGGTTACAGTCTCAGTTAAGCTTCTGTGTGACTCAGCTGCTGCGAATTGCTTCTTCAGCAACAGACATTGATAAAGTTTTGCTCTTTAGGAGATGTAATTCAATTCTGGCATTAAGTGAGGGCTATGAAATGGATTGTTGAAGCTGTTACTCCACTCCAGAGCTTGGACTTTGGATGTGAACTCACATATAAGACGTGATGATCACAGAGAATCTCACCGGGAGGGCTCTGTCTTCCTGGCAGATTTTAAATTAGCCTTATTTTTGCCTTGCTATCTTGACAGGCTGCTGGTACTTTTTTTAGACTAAGGACAGTTCTTGCAGAGTACATCATTTATGTATAACTAGTTCTAATGTCCAAAGCTTTTAACAACATATCGAATAACAAAAAGGCAGATCTTTGCTTTCAGTCAATATACTTCATCATTTTGTCCTCTCCTTTGAAAAACACTCTTATCACAGCATTTAAAAAAACAATGTATGGTCCCAAACAATTGCTCCAAAATGTTTTTCGGTTATTTCTTACAGATTGCCAATTATAAAAGACACTACTTATTTGGGGAAATCTATTATTTGTTGCATTTCCTACAAACTAAATAAAAGAGAGAAAAAGAAAAAAAAGCCCAAACCTTCCTTTTTATTTCATTTTTCTTTATGAAAGCTAATAGTTAATCGGGATTCTTTGAAAACGTAAAAATATCCAAAATATCAAACTGGTTGAATCAGGACTTTGCACAAACACCACCTTATATTTCTTGATCAGATGAAGAATTGCAAAAGCAGACTGGTTTTGAAGTGTTTGGGGTGTGATATAAGACACTGTATTATGCTATCTGGTAAAAATGAACTTGTTGTATTCCTTGAGCCTCTCCCCAATTTTCCAGGAAATTCACCTATGCACAATGTTAGAGATAGGCAGATCCAGTGAATTTTATACCTGAAGGGGTTCGTCCCTTTTCAGTTTTGCCAGAACCTAATTGTTCTGTTGCTGGAGAAAATTGCACTCAATTCAGAACTTGGTTGAGAATTCTGTCCTGGAAGTAAGGAAATGAGATGCCAGATGGCTATATGGACTGAGTTTAGAGAAAATAAGGAAGTTCTGTTCCTTCACATTTCAAGAAAAACACTTCTTTCCTGCTTGATTTCAACCTTTTTCAATATAGATATTTTTATCCAATGTAGTTTATAGAAGAATTAGAAAGCTGAGAGAAATAAGATGTAGGGGGAAAAAGTGACATCATCAGGGTTTTTTCCCAGGGTAGTATCCTGATTCTGACTCTGGATCTGCAAGACCTCAACTCCAGCATGAATTTCTAAGTCTCGTAATTGGAGTGCAATGTGGGGTAACAGCAAACCCATGTATTCCCATGAATGGCATCTAGTTTATTGCTGTGCACTATGTCTCGTAGAGTATTTGGTTTCTCTTTTTTTTTTTTTTACCCTTATTTTTTTCTCTTCCTTTTTCAAATTATCATCTCATATTCTGGTTTAACAACAACAACAACTGTATAATAGTAAGGAAGAGTATTTTCATTATCAAGTCAGGGATTCTGAGGCAAGATCTGGTTGTACCATAAAAGAACAGTAGCTTCCTTTATTTATCTAAGGTTATGCTGGGTACGTGCCTGCCATGTGAATTTTTTTTTTTAAATAATCCTTTTCATATTCCAGCAGTTTAACAAAGCTATGATTATGAAACATTCACACTGAATAATTTATAAGTTAAAATAACTAAAATTTTAAGAGGTAAAATGAGACATATTGGTCTCATAAAATTTTTTGTCCCAAGGGTTTTTCATTATGCTTAAAGTACAAAATTAACATATGTATAAAAGCTAGAATTCGTTAGATTAAAGAACTTATTCAAGAAGGAATTTAGTTTTCAAAGTATCTTTCATTTACATGAGGGAACTTGACAGTTCTTCCTATTACAATGTAGTAAGATTGGAATCTAACTCTTAATCTTTTTTCATTTTTTTAATAACCTCTCTATTATTTAGGCTAAACTGCAAGACTTTTAAGTATGTTTAGAAATGGCTCAAATAAGACTTTATATCTTAATACTTTTTCTTACATTGGAATTTCTTTGCGCATTAATTTTTAGTGTTGGAAAAGTCTCTAAGTGAACATAACACGTTTTAAGTGTGAAGCACTTCACACTTAAATGAAGCACTTTTTAATTTTATTCTTAAAGCTTAGACAGCTTCCCCCCCTCAACTCACAGCTGTCCCTATGTATCATATCTTGATGCTGTCTTTGTCTGATGCACAAAATCTGTAAAAAAGGACCTTGAGCAACAAACTCAACTTTCCTTCCAGTCAAGCACATCTGGAAAAATTCACTGCCTACTGGCACTTTATTTTCCATCATTTGTAAATGCCTTCTTGTTATTGCTCTACTGCTATGCCTTGTAGACTGGTAACAAATTTAAATAGCTTTGAAAAGGACCAATTTCTTATCTCATCTCTGCAGCTCCCAGGTCTTGTAATTGTTACCTCCATTTCTTCTCTCGCTGTACAGGTGTGCTTAACAACCTTGACCTTAAGATGCTTATTTTTACATACAAAATAAAAAGCATGATATATTTGCTATGCTCACAGATAAAATAAATGAACAGAAACATTCTTATCTTTTACACTGCACAACTAATTTCATTAAATAGAAAGTTAAGATCTACTCCTGAAATGCTTTTGTGGAATTCTGGTAACTTCCTCCAAATTCCCATGGATTACATATTTTTAGCAGAAAATGTTTGGTGGGCTTTCTGTCTTGTCATGCTCACTTCTGTTTAGTTTTTAGCCTACAACAAGACAACAGCCAGAGAACTTTGTCAAACTGGTTCTAATCAATTCAGAAAATCCCAAAACACTAAAAGATTTTTAAAAATCAATACAACCAAAATTGCAGTGTGTTTTCCTGTGTATTTCCCCAAGGATCATTTTGTGTCCATGGTGAATTAAACTTAAGGTTGATAAAGACTAAATGTATAAATATATCACAGAATCACAGACTGGTAGAGGTTGGAAGGGACCTCTAGAGATCATCTAGTCCAACCCCCCTGCACACGCAGGGACACCCAGAGCACGTGGCACAGGGTGGCATCCAGGTGCAGTTTGAAGATCTCCCGAGAAGGAGACTCCACAACCTCTCTGGGCAGCCTGTTCCAGTGCTCTGTCACCTTCACAGGAAAGTTGTTATTCCTCACATGGAGATGAAACTTCCTGTGTTTCAATTTCTACCCACTACCCCTTGTCCTATCACTGGCCACCACTGAGAAGATTTTGGTCCCATCCTCCCTACAGTCTCCCCTCAGGTACTTATACATATTGATCAAATCTCCTCTCAGTCTTCTCTAGGCAAAACAGGGCCAGTTCGCTTAGTCTTTCCTCATATGATAGATGCTCCATCCCTTAACCATCTTTGTCACTATGCACTGGACCTTCTCTAGCAGTTCCATATCCCTCTTGTACTGGGGAGCCCAGAACTGCACCCAATACTCCCGGTGCGGCCTCACCAGAGCTGAGTAGAGGGGCAGGATCCCCTCCCTCCACCTGCTGGCAACGCTCCTCCTGGTGCAGCCAGGATCCCATTGGCCTTCTTGGCCACGAGGGCACATTGCTGCCTCATGGTTAACTTGCTGTCAACCAGGACGCCCAAATCCCCCTCCAAAGGGCAGCTTTCCAGCAGGTCAACCCCTCATCTGTACTGGTGCCTGGGGTTATTCCTCCCCAGGTGCAGGACCCTGCCCTTGTCCCTCTTGAATCTCAGGAGGCTCCTCTCTGCCCAACTCTCTAACCTGTCTAGGTTCCTCTGAATGGCAGCACAGCCCTCTGGAGGGTCAGCAATTCTGCCTAGTTTGGTATCATCCGCAAACTTGTTAAGGGCGCACTCTGTGCCATCGTCCAAGTCACTGATGAACAAGTTGAACAGCACTGGGCCCAGTACTGATCCCTGGGGAACGCCACTGGCCACAGGCCTCCAACTAGACTTGGCCCCATTTATCACCATGCGCTGAGCTCTGCCATCCAGCCAGTCGTTAATCCACCATACATATGTATCTGTGTATGAATTTAATTGAGACATTTCAGTAGGAGGATAAATATTTGATCTGTTTTTTTCATCAGTGTGTGGGTATTTGAGAATTTTAGCAGATCATAATGTCCAAAATGTGTATATTTATGTCTGGCAGTGAACTTCCTCTGTCAGTTCCTGCAAATAAAAACAGTGTTACAGAAGAAATTTTGATTTCATAATGATATTTCTTATCAAATACAGACAAGAATATATATTGAAGAATCTGACTGAAAGGAATGTATTGCAAAGCATTACATAAGGACTTTTTATTTTTTCCAGGTCAAAGATCAAAATGTAAAGAACATGATTACAAACAAAAGTCCAAAATAGCTTTGCAGAGCTGTAAATTCTAGCAGCCTCCTGCTAATTGCATCTGACCATGTAAATCTTAAATTTGCCCTTTAGGATAGTTACCCAATTTCAGCAAGAAGCTCTATGTGATAACATGAGAGAAGATAATATAACTAAGCACCTAAACTGTATGTAATTCCTGGATCAGAAAATGGGACTTGTGCTACTCTAAGTCTCGGACCCTTGAAAAAATAAAGAAAAAAAGAAAAGAAAAGAAAAAAAAAGCCAGATTCTGTAGAATCTGACAGTATGTATGCATTAGCAGTGATCAAAAAAAAAAAAACTAGTTTATCATTTGGTAAATACATGGAAACTTACTATGATCTTATCTTTTAAGAAAGGCTGGCTACAAAATTTTGCTAGCTGCCCATACTGCCCTACTTGCTCCTCATGGGACTTTTCTGGCTGCATAATCACTAGCTCTCTGAACTCAGTCAGTAACCTAATTAACACAACAATTAATTGAAGAAAAGGATATTCTCAGAAATATGAGTGGGAACTCAATGATATTACTCATTACTTACTGTTTTGCTGCTTCTCCAAATTTCTGCTTGAATGTAGACAATATGAACTCCATATGCAAGTTTGGATACTGAATGTAGGATTTATTTAAGCCAGCTTTAGATATTTCCAGTAAACCTAATTGTGTTGATTAACCTCTGATGTATGTATTATTGCATGTAATATTGATGTCTGAAATGCGTCCGGATGAATCACTCTTGTACTTATTGTAGGTACTTATTTCTCTTCATTGTTTTAAAGGGAAAATATGATTAGCTGATATAAAAATGTCTAAAGGTAGTTAACATAAATTTCACTTCAAATATTTATGCTTGCTACCAGCTCTGGGTCCTGACACAGGTAAAGTATGAAAAGAGAACATGTTGTAAATGCAGGAAGAGGCAAGATTTAAGACATAGGCTTTTCCAGCATTTCCAGTTGCATGGAATCATCATGTTTAGCATACTGGATTTTGCAAATCATACTTTAAATCATCTAATACTTCTTATCCAACAAACATGGAAATGAGGCCCTTGGTTCAGAATTGTGAGTTCCATTAGCGAAAGTTGATTCTTAAATGTAATATTTCATTTTGTGAAGTATTGCTCCTGTAATCCCTCTACTGTCTTTGATCCTCATTCAGAATTTCTTGGATGTTGTTTCAGGATTTACCTATAATATTACACTATCCCTCATTAAAAAGTCCTAGGCTTGTTTCTGTCAGCCTTTTTGAAGTGGGATATATGGGGAAATCTGACTTTGCTTAATTCCATTCTTGCTCAGAAAGTCTTTTACCTCCATCTTTGTAAAATCTGATCAGCTTTTTGTGACAACAGGCGTGATTGTGTAAAGTTTTGTGAACATTTCATAAATTACACCAGAAGTGTTTGAAGTCCTTGTATGCACTTACCCCTGGCAAAAGCATTATGAGTAAAACATTTTTTTCTACTTTATGGACTTGTAATTTGGTATGTGCAGCAAGCCATCAAACCTGTCGTATAGCACATATGCTCTCCCAACAGTCCTCCCATGCCATTGAAGTGTGATTGTTTTCACTTTATCTTCCATCGATGGAGCAGATACAGCTGGTCATCTTGTAATCTGTCCAAATTTTCATGTAAAAGTCTCATTTTTATATATACATACATTATAATTATGGTGAGACTCTATTTTTCAAAGAAGTAGTAATGATCAGCTCTATTGTGTGACTTGGAAACATAGTTTGCCAGTCTTTAATATCTTTTCTTAAACAAGAGTGTGCTAACATATAAAGCATTGAATAAAAGGTTTAAATTTTGTCTTGGACAATTAACAAATTCCACGTAGCTTTTTAAGCTCCCTAAACATTCATATTACAAGGATATCCTTCCTCGGGAAGTAATGAAAGATCTGGAAATAGCCTGAAACACATGAAAGAAATGTAATAATTAAAGATAAATAAATATAGCTCAGGTGTTTATTTGGTGGAGGGATTTTTTGGGGGGACTGAGGCCTTTTCCATGCAGTGATTTTGCCTCTGAATAAATTTCCTTTCTCTGTGTAGGTAACGCACGCCATTTTTTTTGACCCATGAAATGTACATTCTTTTAAAAATGTCCTGATGACTCTAGTATTTAAGTGAGCATTTAAGTAAGGTGGACAGTTGTTCAGATTGATTTTTGCTTATAATGGGAATTTCATCCATCCTTTCTATTATACAAGGGATACTTTTTAAAAGATCTTCTCTGTCTCTGAAAATTTCCATGATTATGGATAATATTCAGTATCTCCCATACTCCATATCACCATATTCTATATCCCCCCGAGACCATTCCTCAGCCTAGTCCTGTTCAATTTATTCATCAATGACCTGGATGAAGGCACAGAGCGCTCCCTCAGCAAGTTTGCTGATGACACGAAAC